CTATATTTTTTCTTTAGTGAAGACTATAGATTTTTAATGTTAATTTTATATCCTATTACCTTGTTAAATTCTCTTACTGCTTTAAGTGGTTTTCCCATTTATTTATATTTATTCTTTTGGTTTTTCCATAAAATGCTGGCTTCTGGTGTATACATTTAGACTTAAGAGTAGAAGACTTTCGAGTTCTATGTCTGAGAGTGGCGGTGAAGGGAGGCTCAGCAATTGTGGGCTGCTTTGTAGAGTGATTTCACTGGACTCTTTCCTTTGATACCCCAGATTCAATATCATTAGGTCTTTTCTTTTGGGTGTCAAATTTCTAAGAAAACGATCTTTCAATCTCCTGCCTGGCGAGTATAATCCTAGCTGTCAGCATTCTTTGAGGTAGGTTGGAGGAGTCTGGGAGTGTGAACTTTTAGTATACAAACTTTCACTATATATAAACCTTTGCTAAATCTCTCTCTTTTCAGTATAGGACCTCAACTTAATCTGGTTTCCTCCAAATAGAGATCCTGTTTTACCTTCTCTACATAACATTCCTCTAGTCAGAAGCAGATTCCAGTTCTGTGGGATCTGAAATATATGCAATTTGGGGGTTTTGAGAGAAAAATAAAAAATAACTTAGTTTTTCAAATTAAAACAAACAAAATGACCATTTGAACAGATTTCTTGGGCCCTTCCCAGGGCCTTGGAAGGGCCCATGCAAGTGCTAGGCCCTGAAGCTAAAGATTATTTAACTTCATGTTAAATTGAAATTAACCTCCATTCTTCCCTGAGGTGGAGGAGAGGGAATTGCTTAGTAGTGCAGAGTTAGGGAGGGATTTGGTGTTCTAAATTGCAAACAGAAAGTGAATCAAAAAGACTTTCACCCCAGCTTCTAGAGGTACCTGATACTATCAATTCCTAAGCCTTATGGGGGGTTTGTGCTGTAATAAGATTGCTTCTTGGCTTTCTTCATTCCTGTTTTCAGCTTTCTTGGGTTTATCAAATCAGTTTTCATTCATCTATCAGCTTTTCAATGTACAAAATGTTGATGCTGTTGTCTCCTTTACCATTCTTGCTGTTCTTGTGAGTTTATGCCATTTAAAAAAAAAAAGCCTTTCCTGTCACTTTACTGAGTTTCAGAAAGGTCCAGAGGTTAAGGTGTGTGCTCAACGTGCCACTCTTAACCCAAAATCAGGATGTGCCAAATCACACTCCAAAATTGCACCCCCAAATGGCTGGAGCATTTTACACTCCTAGCAGCACAGCATGGAGATATCCACTTACAATTACCCTTGCCAACACTCCGCATTCTCAAAGTTTCCCGGTCTGTTTAAACTATGTCATTATTTAAACTTGCATTTCCCTGATTACTGCTGAGGTTGAGCCTAGTCTTATATACTTATTGGCCCTTTGTGTTATGAATAACCTGTTCATATCATGTACTCATTTTTCCAATAGGTAGTGAAGGGGATCAGAATATGCCACCCCAAAATACGCCACTTTGGCCTGTTGATTGAGTGGAAGATAATTGAGAAAACACACATACAGGAAGGGCTCTCTGCCCTCCCCGCTTCTGCCTAAAGCAGGGCAGAAAATGTCCCGTGAGAAAGGTGCCCTCCCTATACGAGGAAGAGGAGAACATTCTTATTACTGGAGATGGGGAGTCAACACCAAGATTAATAGTAGGTATAAACAAACCTACTAAAATAACCCTCGTCTTCCATTGGTTTCCCCCATATATTTCCTAGTCACTTTCTCATAATTTACCAACCCTAGCCCAAACTCCTTTCTCCTGTGTTGTTAATCTCCACAATTTATCACTCTTTGTTAAAATGGTATATAAGCTCTCAAGCCTATCTACTTCTTTGGGTTTTCATTTCTTATATATGAAGGCCTCTAAGTACATAAAAATATTAACATCAAATAAAATTTGTATGCTTTGCTCCTGTTAACCTGTCTTTTGTAAATTTAATTCTCAGGCCCAGCCAAAGAACTAAGGAAAAGGTCTTTCCTCCCCTACAGTAGTTTATCTTTTTCTTATTGATTTGTAGGCATTTTCTATATTTGTTAAAAAAAATGTTTCCTGTTATACAAGTTGTGGATATCTTCTTCTAATTTCTCTCTCTTTTTAACTTTCTTTATGGCTTCTGAATTCTAGGACACTTTAAATTTTGATATGCAGTCATGCTCTGCGTAACGATGTTTCAGTCAAAGACGGACCGCATATATGACGGTGGTCCCATAAGATTAGTACCATAGGGCCGGCCCTGTGGCTTGGTGGTTAAGTGCGCACGCTGCAATGCTGGCGGCCCGGGTTCGGATCCCGGGTGCGCATCGAGGCACCACTTCTCCGTCCATCCTGAGGCCGAGTCCCACATAACAGCAACTAGAAGGATGTGCAGCTATGACATACAACTATCTGCTGGGGCTTTGGGGGGAAAAAATAAAATAAATAAAATCTTTAAAAAAAAAAAAAAAAAAAAAGATTAGTACCATATAGCCTAGGTGTGTAGTAGTCTACACCATCTAAGTTTGTGTAAGTACACTCTATGATGTTCACACAAGGATGAAATCGCCTAACAATGCATTTCTCAGATCATATCCCTGTCATTAAGTGATACACGACTATAATTTTGCTTTTTGATTCTATATAAAGATCTTCCCTATCCTAACGACTTAAACATGATTTAAATTTTCTTTTACTACACATATGGTTCCATTTTTCACATTTAGGTCTTTAATCCATTTGGAATTTATTTTATGATGGCAGGGGCCTTTTTTCTCACATCAACAATTGGAATTTAAATTGAATAGTCCATTTTTTATCTATTGATTTGAAATGCCATATTTATTAACTACTAAAGGCTTATATGGGTATTTTTCCGTTTCTGGATTCTCTATTCTTGCCCACAGATTTGACATCTTATTTATTACAAGCTTTTCAAAATTGCACTTCATATAGGAAATATCCTTGCAAGATATTAAATGAGATTTTGCTAACATTATAAAAAACACCAATCAGGGCCAGCCCCGTGGCTTAGCGGTTAAGTGCGCATGCTCCGCTGCTGGCGGCCCGGGTTCGGATCCCGGGCGCGCACCGACACACTGCTTCTCCAGCCATGCTGAGGCCGTGTCCCACGTACAGCAACTAGAAGGATGTGCAGCTGTGACATACAACTATCTACTGGGGCTTTGGGGGAAAAATAAATAAATAAATAAAATCTTTAAAAAAAAAATACCAATCACAGATTGAAATAAAACGTCTACTTTAATATTTATCACACAAATGTTTACTTACACTTATCTGAAAACCATAAAAGGACAATTTGTGCATGTCACCTTCATAGTACTATCCATATAAGAACAACTATACATAATCATTAATTTAACCATATCAGGATAACACACAAGGTTTTTGTTTGTTTTAGACTTCTCAGTTAAAAGGAAACACCAAATAAAGAAAATGAATTTCCAAAGATTAAGTTATTAACTATATAAATAATAAAAATTATTTCTAAATGTCTTACATGTTGACAACTTTGAATTATACTTACATACTATTATTTCTAAAAACCACAAATTACAACAAGGGTCACTGTCAGGGTGAAAATATATATTTTTAAAGCTTTTTTTAAAATACGCTATTATTATGCTTTAACATCACTTGATTTATTCTTGGCACATGTGGCATCTTAAAAAGTAAAAATACACTTTGCCAATTTTATGTTATTGTGCAGGTCTACGAGAAAGCACAGTTTGGGTGGCAGACGGACCTGTGTTCACTTACCAGCTTCCTCCAAACTTGTGTTGTGTGAGGCTGGTCAATTACTTCTTGGCACTGGGGCCAGGATTAAATTAAATGATGCATATTTTAAAATGCATAGCATGGGCACTAAATGAATGATAGATCTTTTCCCCAATTTATTCACACTGAAGCAATAGCAAAATATCACAGTCTTATGTTTTCGTACAGTTTGAAAAACTAAAAAAAAAAAATTGGGGAAATTTAAAAGTAAAATCAATGTGTTTTGAAAAATCACACTTTTAAGAAATAAGGAAAGCCTTCATCAGGTTTAAATATTTCTCAATAAAACTTAGTGCCTACTATACCCTGATTTAAAAAAAAAAAAAAAAAGTCCTAAAGTATGATAAAATGGTCAATGGTTAAGGACTTTTGGTTTTCTTTTGTGCTACTGATATAAAAATAATGGCTATATTTAAGGCTTATTAAGTGATTGTAGTTGCCCTGAACCAAATCTGTGTTGCACTATCAATTAAAACAGACCTACTGCCTTGAATGACTACCATAGAGAAACTCCCCTGATATTCTACATTTGAACAACCATGGCCTCCTTACTGATTTTAAGTAAAGGTGCATTTGGTGGCATGTGGCAGTACAGCTCGTTTGTCATTAAGGATGCTTCTTATATACACAGTCACAAACCCATCTTTCTCATGCTAAATACTTGGTGTCTGGAAGATCTAAGATTCCTCAAAATTAAATTTAAATTGTTAAAAGGAATAGACTAGTCAGCAATGCTTCCATCCCTATTCTTGGATCTTTTTGTTTTCTACCCTGACCACCTAACAAATCATCCTTCCAAATCTGACTCACAAACCCCTCCTCCAGGAACCTTTCCCCAACCAAACTTCACATTCCTCCATTTATGTCCCTGAAACTCATGTGTAATTTGTATTCACTTCAACCTGCATATATTATTCATGTTTTGTTTGCCTTCTACTTCCAGCTAGTAATCTCTTTGACTTTTTAAGCTTCCACAGTGTTTAGCACAATGCTGTGCATGTATGTATGTGACTGTGTGTATGTGTATGTGTGTGTGTGTGTGTTGAATGAATAAAAGATTAAAGAACCTGGGTGGGTGTAGGATAGGAAAAGTTTCATAATTTTTCAGAAATCAAAAGTGTTGGACCTTCCTAATACTAAAAAATCTGATTTCCAAAGCCATCTCAGTTTGGTTTTGGACATGTCAATAATAAACATGCAGTGAAAAAACTGCTTAAAAAACCTTTATGAAATATTCCAAAAGGCTTTTTAATAAATCATTAAGAGCACCAAACGAAAACATTTTACTAAATAGTGGACGACCTTTCCTGTAACTTCATAAATGTAGACTTCTTTTCATTCAAGACAAAGAATACCAAACAGGAATAGGTGTTGTGAATCAGGATAAAAAAGGCAGCTCACTCTAAGTTAATATCTAATGCACATTTTGCAATTAATTTGAAAAGACTTCTGTGGCATATATATGTTAAGTAAAAGAATGGTTTATGTCAGGATGGTGTAGATCTCTATAGTTGTTTTGATATTATAAAATATGACACATATACTGAAGCTGCTATTTAACAAAAATTTTGTTTATAATAGCTGTTAATATTAAAATAGGATATAATAAAAAATTATTCTCAATGTGTATATTTTCAAATTTGCCTGACAGTGTCCTTTTGAGAAATCTGACAATTTGTAGTTAGATTACAGACATTTGAGTTTCACTTTTAAGACTGAAATATTACACATACATAATAACAAACAACAATATATAGTAGCTTTTGACTGAACCACTCTGCAATTTATATTTAAAGCTTTGCAATAAAACAAAATTCATTGTACCTTTTGTAAGTAAAATTACACAACATATAATGTACACTATAATTACATTAAGAATAAATAAAATGAAGTATAAAAATTCTGTACCATAACAATGAATTGTTTTAGCTGTCATTCTAAATGGTAGCTTATATGTTTGTACTGAGTTCTAATGTATTTTAAACCCAAGAAACTTTATCTTTAAATAATATACTAAAAATATCAAGGTTGGAGCATAAACATAAAACTCTTTATGCCTTTTTTTCTAGTCATCTAGGAAATAAAATAAGACAAATGGGAGACAAGTACAGTTCTTTCTCGTACTGTAAAATGCCTCCTTGCTTCCCCATACACTTCTATGTCATTTCTAGAACAAATATTACAAGATGACAGCTTTGGCAAGTTATAAGCTTATTTAAGTGTTTTTGTATTGGGGAGAAAGAAAAAAAAATTAAACTAAGAACATCCTTTTTGGCTTATTCATTCTCAACCTTTTTTTCTCTAATATACAATAGTAATATAAAAGCACTTCTTGAAATGCTCATTATTCATCACTTTAAACAGCACAAAATGAATTGGATTAATTTAGAGAATTAATCAAAATAGATTATCAGTACAGATACTAGGGTGAGGTCCTAGAATTTGTTACACGTAAGGCTAAACTTGCAAGAGATCTCATGGCAAAAGCAGAGACTTTGTGACATATTCCAGCTTTAGAAATATAGCTAGAAGCCAATCGAAAAAGCCTTTCAGCACCAAAGGTATTGAAGTGCCCAGGAAGCACCTTCTCTACCAGACCTCTGTCGACTAATTCTATCAGACGTTCACAGGTTCCAACATAGTCACTTATCCTGCTGTATGGGAGCCAATCAATCAGTGATCCATCATACACGACATCTCCACTGAAGAGAATCTTTCGGTCTTTGTCATGTAAGCAAATACTGCCCCTGGAGTGACCAGGCATGTGCATAACAGTGAGCTGTCTGTCACCAAGATTGATCACATCTCCTATAAATGAAAACAGAGTTTACAGATAAACATGTTGTACAAGTATATATAATTAATTCAATCACTTCAAGAAGAGAAAAGAAGAACTTTAAACGCTTTCAAAGAGGTTGGGAAGGATGACACATTTTACTTTTATTTCAAAGATACCATATTTCTTAATGATGATTTAAAAATAAGTTGCCTATATATTTCATTTTCATTGTTTGCCACACCAGTGTTTGCCAAAGTGAGTAACGTCAAACACTGTTTCTGCAAGTTGTTATGATACACAAAAGAAAAGAAGACAAGAAGATTCTATGGTCAAATAATTTTGGAAACTCTTCCTTCAAAGAAAATTAAGCAGCTTTCTTTTCTGCAAGGCTTCTTAGAGCTTTTAATATTGCTAATGTACACTGCAGATATACATGAGGCACATATGGTGGTACAGTTTCTCAAACTTATTTGACTACAAAATTTTTAAGAACCCATAGTACCACTACCCAGGTGACACAAATCATGAATGCTGCTCTAGTGAACAGTATTCCATTTTTGCCCCTTGTTTTGTCACTCTGTGGGAATTAAGGCTTGAGGAATTGGTACAAATGATGATGCTCTGGCTACTGCTATTGCTGTGAGTAATAAACTGTCCTCGGTCTCTAACCCAGGAACCTCACATCTTCTGCCAGAATCCATTAAACTGTGGCAGGCTAACTTGCTAACTTAGAAGCAGGGTAAAATCTCCTATTCTTCCCAGTTATTTGACAGTGGGAGGAAACTGAGCTGTATGTGTGAAAAACTGCTGTTTTACTGGATTTAAATCAGTTCTAACTTAAGTAAATCATCATAAGTTAAAAGTTTTGTATTGTTATCTCTAGTGTAAACACACAAACGCAGAAAAAAATCAAAGAAATATAGTTAAAAAGTTAACAGAGAAATTAAAATGGTGTAATATTCAGGATTAGTTAAACATAAAAGAAGACAATAAAGGAGGAACAGAGGAATCAACAAGAAATGAGACATAGAAAACAAATGACAAAATGGAAGACCTAAATAAAACTATATCAATAATTATATTAAATATGAATGGGATAAACACTCTAATCAAAGGCAGAGATTGTCAGACTAGATAAAAAAGCAAGATATATGACCAGTCTACAAGAGAGGAACTATAAAGTCAAAGACAAAAATAGGTTGAAAAGGTTATACCATACAAATATTAATGATAAGAGAACTAGAGTGGCTAGATTAATATCAGACAAAATAAGGAATATTACTAGAGAAAAGAGGTACATTTTATGAGGATATACATTAGGTCAATACATTAAAACAATTAAAACTACAAATATATATGTACCTAAAACAGAGAATAAAAATTTATTAAGTAAAAACTGACACAAGTGAGGTAAGAATAAACAGTTCAAGAATTATGCTTAGAGGGCCGGCCCCGTGGCTTAGCGGTTAGGTGCGCGCGCTCCACTGCTAGTGGCCTGGGTTCGGATCCCAGGCGCACATGGAAGCTATGGCTTCTCTGGCCATGCTGAGGCCGGGTCCCACATACAGCAACTAGAAGGATGTGCAACCATGACATACAACTATCTACTGGGGCTTAGAGGGCCGGCCCCGGGGCTTAGCGGTTAAGTGCGCCCGCTCCGCTACTGGCGGCCTGGGTTTGGATCCCGGGCGTGCACCGAGCACTGCTTCTCCGGCCACACTGAGGCCGTGTCCCACATACAGCAACTAGAAGGATGTGTGACTACGGCATACGGCTATCTGCTGGGGCTTTGGGGAGAGAAGAAAAGGGGGAGAGGATTGGCAATAGATGTTGGCTCAGAGCCAGTCTTCCTCAGCAAAAAAGAGGAGGATTGGCACAGATGTTAGCTCAGGGCTGATCTTCCTCACCAAAAAAAAAAAAAAAAACAAGAATTATGCTTAGAGATTTAAATATTCCTCTCTGAATAATTCATAATGTAAGTAGATAGAAGAATATTCAGTAAGGATACAGAAGACCTGAACAACACTATTAACCAGCTTGACCTAACTGACATATATAAAACACTTCACACCAAAACAGCAAAGTACACATTCTTTTCAATTGCACGTGGAACATTCACCAGGTATACAGCTAGGCCATAAAGCAAGTCTCAATAAATCTAAAAGGAATAAAATCATACAAAGTATGTTCTCCGACCACAACATAATTAAATTAGAAATTAATAACAAAAATAAATATGGGAAATACCCAAACATAGGGAAAGCAAACATCACACTTCTACATAACTTACGAATCAAAGAAGAAATCCAGGGGAGATTAGAAAATCTCTTGAATTGAATAAAAATAAAAATAAAAAATATCAAAATTTATGGAATGTAGCTAAAGCAGTGCTTAGAAGAAAATTTATTGCTTTACTTGCTTATTTTAAAGGATTAACTGTTTAAAATCAATCACCAAAGTTTCTCAAGAAATTAGGAAAGGAAGAGCAAATCAAACAAAAATAAGTATTAAGGAAGAAATAATAAAGGCCAGAGCAGAAATAATGAAATAGGAAACAAATATCAACAGAGAAAATCAAGGAAACCAATAGTTGGTTCTTTGAAAAGAGCAACAAAATTGATACATCATTGGTAGACAAATAAGGAAAAAATTAGAGAAAACAAAAATTGCAAAAATCAGGAATGAAAGAGGAGATATTACTATAGACTCTAAGGAAATGAAAAGGAGTATAAGGGAATATTATGAATAACTTTAAGCCAACAAATTGGACAACTTAGTTGAAATAGACAAATTCTTAGAGACAAATGACCAAAACTGATCGAAGATGAAATAGAAAATCTAAATAGACTTATATCAAAGAAACTGATTAATAATTTAAATCTCTCTACAAAGAAAAGTCTGGGCTCAAAGACGGCTTCATTGGTCAGTTCTGTCAATCATTTAAGACATGGAAAATATCAATCCTGTATAAAGACTTTCAGAATATAGATGAAGAGGGAAAACTTTCTAAATCAATTTTACCTCGAGAAAAGCCAGACAAAGGCAACGTAAAAAGAGAACACTACAAATTAATAATATTCCTAATGAATGTAGTCTCAAAATCCTTATCAAAATATTGACAAATTAAATACAGCAATTTATAAATAAGATAATGACCAAATGGAGTTTATTCCAGAAATGTAAGTTTGGTTTGACTTTTCAAAATTAATTAATGTAATATACCATATTGATAAAATAAAGGAGAAAAGTCATATGATCATCTCAACAGATACAGAAAAAGCATATGATAAAATCCAACCCTTATTTGTGATAAAAACTTTCAGCAAACTAGAAATAGAAGGGAAAGTCCTCACCTTGATAAAGGGTATCTGTGAAAAACCTACAGGTAACCTCTCACTGAATAGAAACACTAAATGCTTTCCTCCTAAGACAGGACAAGGCAAGGATGTCTGCTCTCACCACTTCTATTCAACATTGTACTGAAGTTCCCAGCCAGTGCGATAAACTAAGAAAAAGAGAGCAAAGTCACACAGATTGGAAAAGACATAAATCTGTCTTTATTCACAGACAACAAGATCTTATATGTAGAAAATCCTAAGAAATGTAGGAAAAAGCTAGAGAATTAAAAAGGCAAGTTTAGCAATGTCACAGGGTACAAGATCAACAGACAAAAAGTCAATTGTATTTCTTTTTTTTTTTTTTTAATTTTATTTATTTATTTTTTCCCCCAAAGCCCCAGTAGATAGTTGTATGTCTTAGCTGCACATCCTTCTAGTTGCTGTACGTGGGACACGGCCTCAGCATGGCCGGAGAAGCGGTGCGTCGGTGCGCGCCCGGGATCTGAACCCGGGCCGCCAGCAGCGGAGCACGCGCACTTAACCACTAAGCCACGGGGCCAGCCCCAATTGTATTTCTATATACTAGCAATGAACTATCAAAAAATGAATTTTAAAAAAACATTCCATTCACAATAGCATCAAAAAGAATAAAATAACTTAGGAAAAAATTTAACAAAAGATGTTTTGTTATATCTGTATACTGAAAACTATAAAAACACAAGAGAAATTAAAGAAGACTTAAACAAAAGGAGAGATATGCCATGTCCATTGACCGGAAGACTCAAAATTGTTAAGATGGTAATTAAATTAAATTTTTCCAACAGCTGCAATGTCTACTAGAACTTTCTGAGATTATCAAAATATTCTGTATCAACACTGTCCACTATGGTAGCCACTAGCTACATGTGTATAATGGCACTTGAAATAACAAACTAAAATTTTAATTTTAATCAATCTTAATTCATTTAAATTTCTATTTAGATAGTCACATGTGGCTAGTGGCTACTGTAATGATTGTTATAGATCTATAGATTCAAAACAATCTCAATCAAAAGCTTGACATGTTTTTTTGTAGAAACTGAAAATGTGACTCTAAAATGTATATGGAAATGCAAATGACCTAGAATAGCCAAAACAAAAATTTTGAAAAAGAGGTACAAAGTTGGAAGAGTTACACTACCTAATTTCAAGAATTATAATAAAGTTACAATAATCAAGACTGTGTGGTGCTGGCTAAATGACAGACATAATCAATAGAGGAGAACAGAGTCCAAAAGGAGACACTCACATATATGGTTAATGGATTTTTGACAAAGGTGTCAACCAAGATAATTCAGTGGGTAAAAGGATAGTATTTTCAACAAATTGGACTAGAACACTTTGGATATCCACATGCAAATAAACAAAAAAGAACCTCTCAGCCCTTACTTCATAATATTAACAAAAATTAAAGTGGATTATAAACTGTGAGAGCTTCTAGAAAACAATAGGAGAAAATCTTTGTGATCTTGAGCTAGACACAGAAATATTAGATATGACACAAAAAACATAAAACATAAGGAAAAATGACTAATTGGACTTCATCCCAGTTATAAACGTTCTTGCTTAAAAAGACGCCCTTAAGAAAATGAAAAGGCAAGCCACACACTGAGAGAAAATATTTGCAAAATGTACATCTGCTAAAAGACTTG